TGCTATTTTCTTCTCGGCCGATTTACTCTATACTCACGACTTCGAATTTCATGACTTTGTTCCTGTAGCACGTCCGCGAGGGACCCCCCTACAGTTCGGACTCTCGATTTGTGTTGCGGTTCTTAATCTGAACCAAAGAGTCCAAATCTAGCAAATCGTTTTGAGAAACAGATTTTTGAAAAAGTAGTGCCAAACATGGACTGCTTTGCCAGATACAGAGTCGCCACCTAAATATTTTAAAATGGGGAAATTTAGGAAACCCTGACTCGGTGCCGAAGGCCACATGTCCGTCATCACCGGAGTTGTCTCGGCTCGGGAGCTTGGGTACGATCGGGGAAGGTCAGCTATGAGCACCCCCTTTCGCCCGGTCCGAAGACCGGCCTCTACTAACCATGATATCCGATTTTGAAAACGTTATGTGCTCTTAAACCAATTATTAGCCTAGAATTACTATGTTATGCACGCAGCAAACAAGTATAGACTGGATTGCCTAATTTGGAAATAAGCATTGCATATCCGTTTTCTTTGAAAAAAATGTTTTGGAATTTGCTACTCGCAAGTAGGCTAAAATGCGGATTTCAACGAGCTATTCCAACTCAAACAATCCAACCTTCACCCACAGGCACTTAAGCAATTTAACACATAAGCATCTAGCCACATGGTAAACATACTATCATGACAACATTCACATGCATGCGGGATGCTAAAGCGAGAATACTTACATCGTACTCCGTGCCAAAACAATAAACTAGTTAGCAAACATGCATGTCCTAGCTCATGTTATATTGCCTAATGCAACACCCACAGGATGCAATCGAAGTAGGCTCGGCTAACCTAAACATGGCATATGAAATGCGATTAATTTGATGCACATATTCAATTTTGAATTGAAGTACAAATGCAGTTAGCGTGATGTACCGAGCCTAATGCATGCAGTACAAATGCATGAATACACACATGCGATAGCATAAGGTATGCTAAATTTTAAATATGCCCTAATCTACCATCATAAGCAGGTAAATAAAAGGGAAGAAAGACGTGAGGTTGGAAGACATACACACACTCACGCACACTTATTATAGATTTGCCCTCACTCGGAGGGACCAAATAAATATTACAGATTAATTAACTACGCAAGCTAATTAAATATTACAGATTAATTAATTAACAAATTAACTAATCTAATGAAAGCAGTAAACGGCCTCGGAAGAGGGGCTCGATGCAATGCATGCTCGCTCCTGCTCGGAATTGCGTCGCCATGCCTTGACTGCCTCTGTTTTCTTTGCTGCACTCCTTTGGAGACTGCCAAAGTTTCAAGACTGCTTCCCTAGACATTGAAGAGTGCCACCGGCTGAATAGAATTGCCACCGGCAGTGTGGTGTGGCCATCGGCACAAAATGAGCCCATCAGCTGGTGACTCACTGCCGGTCGGCAATAAATACTGCCGGTCGGCAAAGAAAACCTGCAGAACCTGCAACTCACAGCAGCAAAGGACGGAACTTGCATGGCAAAACAATTCAAGCATATATGCACCAATTATGTCCCTTATCATGTTTGTGACTCAAAAGGACATATGTCTCGATTCTCGGACCACCAATCACGCATTTCCATGCATGATGGCCCAAAGGATCAAGTGTGCAATTTTCATGTCAAATGAAATGCAAACCAAACAAACAAACCAAGGCCCAATTCCTATCACAAAGTCAAGGAACAAGGCATGCATGCAAGATGCAATGCAACCTAGGCATACAAGCTAAGGATGCAACATGGCATGGCAAGGCACTTATGCAAGCATGCAAGCAAACATGAGGCAATGCACATGGATGAAAAGATGGACTTATACATGATTTGGGCAGCTCTAATAAGGCCCAAAACAGTGGCCAAAATGACCAAAACAAAGGACCAAAACACACACATACATGCACATGTTAAAGGACCAATACTAAGGCACAAGTGAGGGACTCTCAAGCACACTTGAAAAGAGATACCATGGACAATTAGCATGCAACATAAGCATTGAAAATCATGTTAGGATGGTGTCAAACCAAGCAAACAAAACAAGCAAAGCATGCACAAAAGCTTGGAATTAGCCCAAGGACTTGAACCATGACCACATGGCGCATGAAGCAATTGATCAAGGCGAATCAAAACGGTCCCAAATCATACAAAAATAAGCCTCGAGGACTACTTAGATGGCATCTAAACGACCTAATCCTAGAGGCATACATCATGGCACAAATATGAAGCATGGAGCATTAACTCTTGAAGCAACAAAAGGGCCACAAAATGCAAACATTTAGGCATGCTAAAAGGTCTGAAATGACATGGTGGGTGGTTCCAAACCACCGAAATGATGCATGAAACACATTCTACACATTCACATACTTGAAGCATACAAGCTCAAATACAAATGAGCTATACTATGCATGCCAAGATCAACCCAAACGACTATGGACAGAGCTAAAACATGGCAAAATATACACAAAAGCTTCACAAGACTAAGCCTAAAACATGCTCTAACAAGGGCTAACAACCTAAGGCACATTGAGGCAATAACATGGCCTTACATGGTAGGTATGCTAAGCATGCATGGTGTACCAAAACCAACAATAAACAGAGGTATATCACAACATATTAAGCATGGAAAGCAGCCAAGACATGGTCAATACACACTCTATCATGATGCTCCCTCAAGAGGCCAAAATGGGTCCATTTTAAGGACAACAAGGATAGGGGGTGGCCCTCCCCTTTCGGAGACTTCAAGGCACCATCTTAAGATAGGTAAAAACAAGATGCAAAAATGGGGAATAATGGGACTAGATTCTCACCCTTGAAGACCCCTTCACAAGTGATGCTCCAATGGCCCTCCTTGGCTTGAATCCAACACCAAAACACCAAAATCAGTCCCTTAGAACCTCAGGAGCCAAAGGAAGGTGAAACACTAGGTGTTTGTGTGCAATAGTATGGACTAAACACACTTAAACACATACAAGAGGGAGATATAGAGATAGAAAGTGTATGGTTTCTAACCCTAGAACTCAAAACCCTAAAAATGGCTGTCTAAATATATCTTAAGTGTTTCAAGTGTCTAACCTTTGCAACAAGAGAGAGCCCCTCTCTTTATAGCACTTCTTGTCTTGTAAAGCTTACAAGACAAGCTTCATAAGAGGGAGATCCCTCCATGCACGTGTATGGAGGGCAGCAAAAAGCAAGACAGCTGTCTTAAAATATCTGCAAAAGCAGATGCACAGTAGTCGGCCGGCCAAAAATGCCATCTTGGCAAAAAGGAGTGCCGACCGGTAATAAAAGATGCCGACCGGCAAACTACAGTGCCGATGGAAGCAAAAACCAGCCGGTGGCCTCTAGCCACTGCCGGTGGTGTGTGGGGATGCCTCACAAGGCATTCCCTGCCCCTCCAAGGCAAAACACAAGTGTTTGGTGCAAATCACAAGTGTTTGGTGCAAAACCAGACACTAAACGGTCGAGTTCGGAGATCCTGAGGCAAGGCGCGTAGTCGAGACCTCCGGGAACTCCAAACGAACACGAACATGGATGATCACCAAGTGTTCAAACGGTGACGTCCAAGTCTTGAGGACGGTCAAAAATGGGGTGTCTACAGTTCCTGACCAGCTCCTGATACTTGGCCATTATGTCATCCTTCGCGTCGTACTCATAGGGTATCTGGTTGACTACTAGTTGGGAGTCGTTGTACACCATTAGCTTGGTGGCCTTCATTTGATAGGCTGACTTTAAACCAGCTAAAAATGCTTCGTACTTTGCCTCGTTATTGGATGCTGGAAATCCAAATGTGATTGTCTGTTCAATGGTTAAGCCATCTGGCAAGATGAGGACTATCTCAAGTCCTGCTCCATGTCTGTTAGACACGCCATCCACAAAGAGCTTCCACATCTCTCCCACAAATAACTTCCAGCAAGTGGATGCGTCTAAGAAGGTTATAATTTCCAAGTGTTTGTCCGATGTTTTAGCTTCCAAGTGTTCCTCCCCTTCTGGCAATGCACTATTGGCCACAATGAAGGCTACGAACATTGTTTTAGCTTGTACGAGTTGCGCTATTCGCTCTACACTTCCTCCTCTTTAGTTCTTGAATGGCCTTGATCTGAGAGGGATCGACTTTTATACCATGGTTGGTTACTAGAAAGCTAAGAAATTTATCTAACCCTATATCAAACGCATATTTGGATGCATTCAGTCGTAGCTTGTGGGTCTTTAAAAATTGAAACATCTCAGCTAGGTCGTTGAGATGGTCTTTTTCATTCTTACTCTTGACCACCATGTCGTCTATGTAAGCTTCCATTGTTCTACCTAACAATGGCTCAAACATTTTGGTGATCATTCGTTGAAACGCTACCCCTACATTCTTTAGGCCAAAGGGCATGACCTTGTAATAATACAACCCCCTAGGCGTTGTAAAGGATGTAACCTTCTGGTCTGGTTCATACATAGCAATCTGATGGTATCCATGATATGCATCAAGAAAGCTAAGTCGGTTATGACCTGCAGTTAGGTTCGTTAGTTGGTCTATCTGTGGTAGAGGAAAACTATCTTTTGGGCATGCTTTGTTAACTGTCTTGTAGTCCACACAAATGCGCCATTTGTTGTTCTTCTTCAGCATCACTACAGTGTTGGAGATCCACTTGGGATAATGAACCTCTCTGATTGCCCCTACTTCCAACAGGTTCTCCACTTCCTTAGCAACTATCTCAACGTGGTGACGTGCCGATCGGCAAGTTCGCTGTATAATCGGTCTAGCAGTCGGGTTGACATTAAGTTGATGGCAGATGAAGTTTGGATCAATGCCAGGCATGTCGTACGACGTCCAGGCAAACACTTCGATGTTAGAGATCAAGAATTCCATGATCTCTGTTCTCTTGGTGTTGGACAAAGATGACTCTAGGACGTTTTTGTCTATTCTCACCTTCACTAGATCTTTCATTGCCTTCTGTTCAGTTGCCTTGCCGATCCGCAAATAACTCGTTGCTTTATGGTTCCTCTACCATTTGCTCGAACCCTTTGGTAGCTCGGCTGCCATTCATGATAACGAAGCATTGCTTGGACATGATTTGGTCTCCCAAGACCTCTTCAATCACTCCAGCTTCATTAGGGAATCGCATCACCTGATGGTAGGTTGATGCTACAGCTCGCATGGCTTGTAACCATACTCTCCCCAAAATAATGTTGCAAGTGGAAAGGACTTTCAGCACCCAGAATTCCACTTGTTTCGTCATCGTCCCAGCTCTGACTAGTAAAATTATCATGCCAATCGGCCATTCTGTCATTGAGTTGAAATAGACCAAAGGAGATGTCGCAGGTGCTAAGTCTTTGTCCTTTAATTTGAGTTGCTTGAAGATCTCATTGTACATTATCTCACACGAGCTTCCTTGGTCTATCAAGATTCGCTTGATGTCAAAGTTCTTGACACACAAAGTGACCACTAGCGCGTGACCAGGAGCCCTATTTTTCTCTCTCACTCGCCCCTCCGTGGGTTCCGTCATTGGGGGTCCAAGTTTGTCATGGGTGGGAAAAAAGGCAAATCCTTGCACCTCTTGTCCCCTTCTGGAGTTTGTCCATCGACAATAGACTAAGGCAAGTCTTCGTTGTGTGCCATTGAAATCAGTTGAAGGAAAACTTCAATTAAAAGGTTTGTTCTCTGTGACATTTCCCACAAACAGTGCCAATTGTATGAGTACAAAATAATCTTCTCGTATAATCCTGTGGACCAAGTTTGCACTCCTCCAAACGTCGTTGCTTTGCTACCTGAAAACACACATGAGCTAGCCAGTAGGTGTGTGCCAGAAACCCCCCCGATGACTAAGTTAGCAAACAGATAATAGACAATAAGCTCTGTGTATTTGAGAGTGAGAATTGCAATACCTATGTATAGGTTTTGTCATGAGCTCCTATAGATTCCGCGTGGAACAATCCTAGTAGTATCTCTCCTTAGCAAAGTCTTCCTAGGAATCACATTCCTAAAGGATAATGCTTATCCTTAAAACACATTTCTCTCTACCAACCAGGTGAAATGGTTCAAACTCTTTTGCTCGGCGGTCATTGCGGTCAACCGAGCTATCTCGACTCTGTGCTCCCCTTGGCAGAGCCGTGATAACCCTAGCTACAAGATGGCACCCTACTAAACTACACATAGCTCGGCCCTCTTTATTGATAACATCTCGGTCTGCTAAAGGACTGCATTCAGATACCGAGGTTCAAGCCCTAACAACACATCTCTGACCGGCTTAGTGTCTGCTTAGCCCAAGACCGAGCTACACAAGCTCTTATTTTATAGCCCATTGCGCGGCCCAACTTTCAAAGAGGATTTTACCTAGCTTGGTCCAATTTGTCTACACAAATTACCCTTTCAAAATCCATGAATTAAACACAACCTAAAATGACATATTCTAAAATTTTAGAGTAAAGGGACTAATTTGATACAAATTGAACACCAGATAAAAATTTCACAACAAAATAATAGATAAAAAATAAATAATATTAATATTAAAATAATTATAATACTAACTCAAAATAACACGGCACCATATTGACCACGTACCGCGTGATCTATGGGCAACCCAATTAAGATTGCAAACAAATCGAGCTATTCATGAACAGTTCGAGTTCGGCTCGTTTAAAGTTCAAGCTTAAACTCGTTTATTAATTGAGCTGAGTTCGAGTAGTCTCAAGCTCAATTCAAAAAGGCTCGTGAACATGGGAAAAAAATTAATATCTACTTTTAATAATATATCAAATAAATTTTTAATAATTTATTTTAGTTTTTATTTGTGTTTGATATTTGTGTAAATTTACATATTTAATTGATGAAATTTATTATTAATATAAGTATTCTTATATATTTTTCTATTAATTTTTAATTTATTTTTATCTTAATAAGTAAATTAAATTAAGTTTAATTTTTTTTTTCAAGCTCGAGTTCGAACTTGGCTTGTTTGTGTAATTGAGCGAACTCAAGCCAAGCTCGAGTTTATCAAATATTTAACGTTTAAGCTTGACTTGAACTTGGCTCAAGCTTGAGCTTGATTTATTCTTAATAAACAAGTCTAAACACTAAAAAATTCGGTTCAACTCAACTCATTTGTAGCCTTAAGCATAATATCTTTACTGTCACGACCCAAACCTGCCCCTGTAGGTTTTACGTCGTAACCAGCCAGTAATCCTCGGATTACCAAAGGCCTCTAACCTGAATATCATAAAAGATAAAGGGCTAGTGGAAGCAAATAGAGAATCATACATGGTCCATTGAGCTATGTAGACATAGATGGGACAGAAATTTGAAAACTTATATACAAAGTCGTGATGTCATACGTATAGTAGTCTTACGTCACATACATCACAGATAAAGCAAAAAGGGAACTTAGCACATTATACAGATAAACCAAAGCTTGTTCATGTACCAAAAGAAAACAAAATCTTAAACGATCACAAAACATGGCTACAAGACTTGACTTAATCCGGAACCTCCTTGGGAGATGCAAAAGGGTGGCTGATAAACTAAACTCTAGGTCATCAACTCTATGCCTGGTCACGCGCCTAGTCACCTACATATATAATATAATAGAGTGAGCGAAACCCAGTGAATAATAACGGAGTAAAGCATTTAATGAATGATATCCCATAGCAGATTTCAAATCAGATACAAATTCAAATTTGCATACTTAACCAGAAATCATAGCAGTTATATGTGGTACATCCATTTAGCTATCATATCATTCCCATTTTGCATAGTTGGTACCGACGACCACATAGGTCCACATCTTGTGCACAAGTAGCCATGGTATTGTTACCCCCAGGCGAGGGCCACGTGAACATAAGCCTCGGTATTGTTACCCCCGGACAAAGGTCACATGAACATAAGCCACGGTATTGTTACCCCCGGGTGAGGGCCACGTGAACTAAGGATGCCACAAATATATTTCAAAAACATGGATATTCATTAATGATTCATAAAATAGAATTTCAGAAAACAGATCGTATCATTTAGTCAAAAAAAAAAAAAAACTCATAATCAAACATAGTTTTACAGAGTTATTACTCATAGATGGCTCCGGATGCAGACAGACAGTGCAAACTAATCAAATGGCTTATGGTGCGTGACCTAAACAAACATAACAGATACACAAATTGAAACACACACTCAGAATATACTTAACTCATTACGTTTCGTTCTTGGTGTGTTTTTAAGTCTTATCCTCATTATTATGTCTTAATCTTGGCTTAGGAATGATTAGAATGTAATGAGGATGCAAAAAGTACACTTGAGAACACTTAGGCAATTATGCTGAAAATAGGGCCTCGCTCGAGCTCAACTTCCTTCGCTCAAGCGGAGGGTCAAAGATGTGAGTGGTCGCTCAAGCGTAACTTCCTTCGCTCGAGCGGTCTGTAAACTTTGCAAAAGTACTGGTTGTGTGAATTCTCCGCTCGACAATCGCTCGACGGTCGCTCGAGCGTAAGACTGAGGTCTTCGCTTGAGCGCAACTCTTGTCACTCGAGTGGTCTGCAAAACATGGAAACTTCTAGGAGCATGCAATTTATGCTCGAATGGAAGTGCACAACTCAGAGTGGTCGCTTGAGTGCAAGATCTGTCGCTCGAGTGGAGAGACAGAATTCTAGAATTTCCAGATTGCTCTACCAGGCTCAAAACTCAAATTCAATGCAGCAAAACATGCTTTCTTAGGCAAAAAAATCAAAGAAGCTTATGTAAACTTGGAAAACATCATGAATTCAAAACCATTTCGCAAAATCAAAGCCCAAGAGTAAGTCAATTATGCAAATTCAAGCTTAAAGTTTAAAGAACATAACATACATGTATTGATATGAATTCAAGCCTTCCAAAACATGATCAATTAAGGTGAATTGATAGGAAATGTGATGAATTCTTAAAACCAAGCTAGAATTATTACATGCATGAGGGAATTCTCTTGAAAACAACATCAAAACTCCATGAAATGCACATGTATGCATGGTATGATTTAAACTCCTTCCTTCCTAGCTTAATTCTCAAGTTAATTCACCTATCTCACTTGATTCCTTGCATTAACCAACTAAATTTCAAAGTTAGAGGCTTGATTTCACACCTTAGATGTCTAGTTGAGCTCTAGTTAGCTAATTGTTGAGTCTCCAAGCCAAATCTTCCAATTCTCTACAACATCCAAGTGTTTGAACTCAATTTCCTAAGTCTCTCTCTCTCTCTCTCTCTCTCTCTCTCTCTCTCTCATGTTTATGAGCTCAAGTATGAGGGGATAAGAGTGTGTAACTTGAGTGTCTTGAGTCAAAGAAGCCTTATATAGGCTTGATTAAGAGTTGGTTAATTAAACTCTAATTAATCTAAGCAATGGCCATTAATTATTTTAATTAATTCGTTCCAAATCGAATTTCAATTCAACCTACAATAATGTTCTAAAATTCTAAATGAGACATATACCAAGTCAATTTCGTGATCGGATGCCGATAAAGCCTTCAATTCACAAAACAAAACAGAAACACAAACAGATATTCCTACAGCAGACAGATATAAACACAAACAATGGAATGCACATGTAATTAACTCAGAATTTCATCTTAATTACTTATTAGACATACTTAATTATGACTTACCAGTTAATCATAGGTCGGGATTGTTATATTTACTTTGAGATATCTTGTAGGGAGAATACTTAACAGTTGAGAAAAAAAAAATTACAAATACATGAAGAGTGCAAGTGATTCTGTAATGAGATACAAATGAAAAATTGTGAAGGTGCAAGTCTCACATACACCCCACATTTGTATTTTTTTTTTTTTTTTACATTACACTTTTAAGTAATTCCCTTTATCTTCTAATATATCTATATAATGATTGACTCTTCCCATAAAATATATATATACATACTCTCGGCTTGGTTTTGGTTTTCATAATTTATTTTGTAGAAAATTCTACTTTTTTATTTTCTGTATGTTTTTGTTTTCAAATGTATTTTTTTTAATATTTTAAGCATTTTTTTTAATTTTTAGACACACATAACATAAATACACTTAAAAAATATAATTTTTGTGAAAAAAATTATTAAAAAATTCACTAAATACAAAAACATTTTAAAAAATACGAAAATTCAATATATTTTTCATATTTTTGTGTATTTATTTATTTTTAAAAATATTTTTTCACAAATACATTACGTTTTAGATACATCTAAATAAGGTACATCTAAAAAAATAAAAAAAATTACTTAAATTTTAAAAATATTCACTAAAAACAAATTAATTTTAAAAAAATTAAATTTTAAAAATTGAAACTAAACAGGCGAATTGACTCATAGATTTCTTTCACCAATGGCATGAAGTCAGACTTTCTTTTAATGGGTCCAGACTTGACGTTGAACAAAAGGAACTGCTTGGAAGTTGGATAGGATTATATGTTCTTTTTTATAATTTTTTCCAAATATTATTAATATAGGGTAATTTGGTCAATTAAATAAGAGAGAATTATATACAAATAAGAGAA